AGACACGAATTCAATTTTTTCTGCAGGTACCTTGCCAACTTTGCAAGAAAGACATACCGGCAGGAACTCCATTCTATGAAGTCAACCAGGCGCCAAAGTGCAGTGATTGCTGCATTGTATGTTTTTTACTTGCAACATTGAGAATCCGTTTGTATAAATAACAACAGTATAAACAGAATTAACAACAGAACAGAAGAGTCCACTTCTCTCCCTAAGACAATTTTTTCTTCTCAGTGGCTTGATAGATAGTTTCCGCTTCCCACTGCCCTCGTGATTGGGCTGGTTAATTCTATTCTCCTTCTAAAGTTACTATTGTGCATGTCTGTTTGAGTTTGCGCAGGGGACACAGTTTTTCATTGCATTTATAATTTAGCTTGATGGTTCGAGGACAGCTCCAAGGACGTCCGCTAAGCCGGTAAGCAAATTTATCAGCATTTATTATGCATTCATCTGCAAGACTAGGATTGGTTTTCCAAAGCCATGTCAGCCATGTGACTAAGAAAAAATGCTCTTCAAATTTTTTCCGAGGGAAGAAATTCACAGAGTCGAATGGACTTTTTGCTTATTTATATGATATTTTTGATAGCAGTCAACTTATGAACCATTTTGAGGCAATAGAAGGGGGAAGTTGTGTAGCTTCTTGTGCTTTTAAATAAAACGTCGAGTTTCAGAGCCTCCCCCCTAAGATTCACTAAGAAGTATTGCTCATTTTCAGGTAGCGTGCAAAAAATGCAACAAAGAAATATTACCTGGAACAGAATTCTTCGAGGTTGACTTTGCACCAAAGTGCAGAGCCTGCTGCATTGTACGTTTTTCTCAGTTCCGAACATCTACAGTCTCTTTTTCCTTGAGACTTTAATCGGGTAGAGTGTGTTTCATGTTTACTGTTATGAAAAAATCGGCGCTTAGGTTGCTCGTGAGATAGAGCCCATTATATGGCTTACGCCTTGGTGGATTCTACCTTGTACCGTATTTGGATATCAACGCACACATGATCATGATCGATTCGGTGGACTCAAACTCTAGTACTGGAGGATAATACTGTTCTTATTTTATCCTGTGGTGCACAAACGAACAGCTGCGTTCCCTTCGGAGAGGGGCTCCGTTGCAAATTCCGAGAAATTTTACGCTTCGGAGTTTATGTCAGACCAATTTCAATAATGCTTTGATCACTACTAGAATAACACCTTTTCACCATCGCTCGAGCAGGGCCCTTTCTTTCTAGTATGGCAGTGTGCTCTAAAATTCAGTCTTCCAAGTTTTTAGGAGTTCTTTTGACAGTCAGTAAAGCTAATTAAGTTGCCCGGAGAAGTACTTGTAGTCAGCTTGCTCAGTGAGGGCAGAATTCTGCCTTTCTGTCGATTAAGACATATTTTGCATTCACTAAGAGTTTCACAGACCCCTTCCTACCCCCACCTTCTAAATACTTCCACTGATCGGTGCACACATAAATTCGGCAGTTTACGGTTTGGTTGCGATGTAGCCTGCTTTTGCTGGTGTAGCTCATTGTAGAACGTTCTCTTCCAAATGCAGAGGCAGCACGACATAACCTTGCTCGGGTGCAGGTCTGCTTGCGGATGTACGGATGTGCCCACGTAACCGTCACACCAGGCCCGTGAGATACGTGGTGACTGCTCATGCGTATGTTGACGCAGAGCCAAAGCTCTCAAATCTCCTTTATCCAGTTTTGTTGAACCCCGAAAGGGCTGAGAAGAGCGGCACAAAAAAAATGTGTGCGGAGTAGTTGCCTGTTTCGGAAAAAAACAGATGTGCAGCTCCCCTGAAGGTCATGGATATATCAAACGGAGTCGGCCTGGTCGCACCAGCATGCCCTGCCGGGTACCTGCTCGTAGACCTCCAGATTCTCTTTACTTTAATGGTGGAACACTTATAAGGGTTACAGGCAGCCATCTGGAATTGAGGTTGTCGGCGGGCCTCACATCTTCAGGCTCGGAGCGACGGTCACATCGATAACGTGATCCTCCGTGGAACACAGCGCTAGTGCTGGAGACAGTTAAGGGTGCATTGGAATCGCTTAACCGCATTTGGGAGATCAGATTACAAACTTGGCCTTCTAAAAATAGCGGTTGTTCACCAGAAAACCGCATGGCGCTCATTTATACCGCATTTACCGCATTTATTCCTTGCGTGGTAACACTGGTTGTGATGAGAACCAGGTGGTAACAGTGGTCAAGCATCGGCTCTTGAAAACAAATCGTACTTCAGTTTTTATCAGGACTCGTATCCTGAAATACGAATAAGCTCGTTCTACGTCTTTCCACTTCGTGTATAAAACCATAGTTTGTTCCAGGAAGATGGCATCAGAGCACCTCTGAAGACACTTAAAGAGCCGGTAAGTACAGCGCACATCACAACCTCACATCATTACAAGGGTCCTGGTCCTGCAAGCGAAAAGAGATATGACATCTACAAATGTAATGTATCCACTATCCTAACTCCTTCTACTTGAGATCTTTTCACGACATACCTAGATATCTTCTTAGATTTTTCCCACATCTTGACCCTTCACCTTCACTGACGATCTTGTGTGCATGTCGATCTGAAGCTTTCAGTATATCTTATCGATGATCGGGATCAAGGGTTTCCTTGTTTCGTTGAATCCAACCTTAGTGCGTAAGGTGTCTAGTGACTCTTGAGCACTACCACAACAAGAAACGCGTGTCTCAAAGCAACAGTCCCAGCAGGGTGGGCGTGGTCGGAAACGACTGCAATCCCCTCGGCCGATTCCGACCACGCCCACTTCAGCTCCCCTAGCGGCTTTCCAAGGTGAGTTTTTGTTCAGTCACACTTCTTACGTTCTTGACTAGGGGCTGAACAGCTCCGAAGTGGGAATCGGCCGAGGGGATTGCAGCCGTTTCCGACCACGCCCACCCTGCTGGGACTGTTGCTTTAACTTCTGCTGACTTTTCCAAGGTTCATCGTTAAAAGTAGTTTTTCAGACAAAGTGTAAAACCTGCCATGACGAAATACCAGCCGGTACACCGTTTTATCAAGTTCACCTGGCACCAAAATGCATGGGTTGCTGCATTGTACGTTATTTTTTTATTATTCAAAAGCTTCCATTAGATGGAGGTAGCTACGACGGGAGTGGTAGCTGGAGGAAATGCCATACGCCTAAGGCATCATCGTTCTAGTGACAACTTAAGTCTGAATTTTCTTGGCTTTCAGGCGGATGGCACAAAGCCTTCTCCATCATCGCCAAGATCGGTAAGTCAATTGGGTATTTCTTCAAATCACTTTCTTCAAGTACACCTTCCTCCTTCCCCCAACTTGTTTGCCGGTGCTAGAACGGGTTGTTATGCCTGTCTATTCCGCAAAATATAATGTAGGTGTGATCAGGAGATAAGCTCGAAAAACCTCCCAACTTCGGTATGAGCTATCCGTCTAATGAATTGTTGTGGTTTTGATTATACCCTGCCACGTGAGATGCCCGCTTTATACCCTAGCATTGCTCCTCAAAGTGCTACATCCACATGTGAAAGTCAGTACCGGGGGCGGGGGAGGGGAAGCAAACAGGGGAATCTAAGAGATTTTGGGGGTTTATACCAATCTGTGAAAACCACAAGTTTATCGTAAATGTACTATTATAAGTTTGTTGATCAAAATGAAACCAAGCGGAATCATAACTAGTAGGAATGAGATGTACAAGGCCAATTTCCCAATCCCAGCGTTAGATAAGATCATGTGGCTTTTTTTCACAGTGTCACCATACAAACAGTAAGAATAATGCTAAACTGTATATTATAAAGTCGTTAGGCC